GCTACAGAGGCTTGCAGGCGGCTTGGGTTTCCCCAGCAATGGAGGAAGCCAAGCTCCTGTAGACCAGGCCTGCCTTGCCCTCCGTAACAAAGTTTCAATTATAGAAGATGAATAAATCCCAACAAAAATGGCTGTGGCCATGGAGTGAGCCAGAGGCTTGGCTCCGAGCAAGGCTACAAAATCTCAATTATAGAAGATAAATAAACCCCAGATACCAGGGCCTCTGCTTGGGTGGCTGGCCTGCAAACCACCACAGACCCCGTGCCCAGGCCACCCCATTGCCCCAAGGGAACCCTCACCCTGATCCAGGACACCCTTCAGGGCAAACCAAGCCAGCCCCCACCTATGAACCAGACCTCTAGCCTAGCTAATAAAAGATTAATATGCAAATTGACCATCATTCTAACACACAAGATGCCTTCCCCCATGTAGCCAAATATGGGTGCCAGCAGGAGAGGGCATTTTGGAAGTATTAGGTCTGCAAGGGAGGGCAGTTGTGGGCGATAGGCCAGCAGGGGAGGGAAGTTGGAGGTGACTGGGCCTGCAGGGGTCAGCATTTGTGGGGGACCAGGCTTACAGGGGAGGGCATTTAGGGGTGACCAGGCCTGCAGGGGAGGGCAGTTAGGGGCAAGCAATCTGGCAGGGGAGCAGTTAGGCATCAATCAGGCTGGCAGGGGAGTGGTTAGGGACAATCAGGAAGGCAGGCAGGCAAGCAATTAGGAGCCAGCAGTCCTGGTTTGTGAGAGGAATGCCCTACTGCCCATAGGACCGGGCCTAAACGGGCAGTCGGACATCCCTTGAGGTGTCCCAGATTGGAGAGGGTGCAGTCTGGCCTGAGGGACACACTCCCCCGCCCCCTGCATGAATTTTGTGCACTGGGCCTCCAATTTTTAAATATAAGTCATTGCCATCCTTTATTTCCAATAAACTGCATTTTCTTTACATGATGGAATAGAGATGGGAATCAAGTGAATAATTGGTTTTTATACCTTCAGTTCTGAGAATATATACTTTCGGTGAGTATTTTGTTCGGTGAAATTTGCATATTATTTTTTTTAAAGTTTTTAATGAAGACTGATGTTTTCTACATATGATCTTTTATCTGTAAATTTTTAAATAGCGAGTTGTTTTAAAGCTATATATTCTATAAAAATCTGCCAGTAGAATTAGACTTTTGTTGTAAAGAGGAATGTAACTTCTAGGTTGTATTAGTTATTACATATTGAACCTTTTCTATAATTATATACATTAAGTTATTTTATTTTCATGGAAGACAAACAGCTTACCCAATTACCTTAAAAAAAAATAGGGTTCCATATATGTCTTTACTTCCCAGCCACTATCTAACATAGCTGTTTCTACAACTGGAAAATTTCAAGGTTCATATGTTGTCAGACTCTGTTTGCTGACCTTGAGGTATAAAATCAAGAATGGTGAGCAGTGCAAGGAAGAGATGAGGCCCAAGTGTTTGGCACATTTAATTTCCCTTAATTACATTCAGTTCCATGAGAACAAGTACTTTCATCTGCTTAACATATGTATATGTGTATATTTGTATATATGTATACATAAGTTTACATTTTATATAAAATATACATATTTTATGAGATTGGTGTCTATATATTAGTGCTGTTTTGCTTTAAAATGATTAGGCTGGATAGTGGAAGAAAAGACTTATAGAATCATAGAATTGTGGAGTTCAGAAGGATCATACAGATTAACTTATTTAAAAATGAAAAAGTTAAAGCTTAAAAAATGAAAGTGATTTGATTAAGTTTATAATCTTAAATTTGGAAACCTAAGACATCCTTTTTCATTCTAGTCTGACACATGTGGCTCTGAATTCTTATAAAGCGTTTTGTATTTTTCCTATGTTTGTTTTGTCAAGGAAGGGAAACTTGAAAAAAAACAATAATAAAACTGCTAATTTGAAACAAAGAGACAGATTAAAAAGATGGGCGGGCATATATTATTATGTGATTTGAATTATGTAAGGATTTTTATAATTACGAAACAATACATAGCTTTTTAGTTTGAGAATACTGTTGCTAAAAAATATGTATTAACTGAAGCAAACCAATATTATGGCAATATGTTGTGTGTTCAAAATTAAAATATATATCTTACAAATTGTGATAATGTGTATTTATCCAATAAAAATGGTTTCCCCAAGAGACCATGTATTTTCAGAAAAGTTGAAAATGTTTAACGGACTTTAAAGTACAGTGTATGAATGGGAATACTATTTAGTTTTTTGAAGATGGTTGATATAAATGGAAACTGATGTCATTATGGAAAGCCTTATATATCAGTAATCACACATGCATGGAGTTAAAGACTGTGCCCCTTGGGACTTTATGTTCTAAGTACAGACAACCAAAAACAGCATTGCCTAAACATACTGAGTAATCTAAATAATAATCAGATGTTTTGGTGAATACCTTTATAGAAGTCATCGCAAGTGATGGAACTCCCGAGGGAACACTTTGCATATTAGACTTTTTTATATAGATATAGATATAGATATAGATATATAATAGATATTTTCTGTACACTGTTGACTTAAAATCTTTTGACTTAATAATTTATGAGATTTCCTTTACATGATTACTTTTATCTAACCACTCATATTCTTCCTAAAAATAGCTAATAATGAATTTATTCCTAGAGTTTCATATAAGTATAATCAGTTTTTAAAAAAATTGTTTCTGCCTGGCTGGTGTGGCTCAGTAGTTGAACATTGACTTATTAACTAGGGGGTCCTGGTTAGATTTTCTGACAGGACACATGCCTGGGTTGTGGGCTCAATCTGCAGTAGGGGGTGTGTAAGAGGCAGCCATTCAATGATTCTCTGTCATCATTGATGTTTCTATTTCTTCCTCTCCCTTCCTCTCTGAAATCAATAAAAATATATTTAAAAAAATAAAAATGGTTTCTAAAAGATCAATCCTAAAATAGGCAATTATGTGAAGAAGTTAAACCGACTAATCAAACAACAAACAAAATGTTTTATAAACCTGCAGTGCTCATTTCACTCATAAGAAGAATAAACCCATAATATATATTTTATTCACCCATCAGTTTGATAAGGATAAGACAGTTTGATAAATCACAGTTTTTGTGGGCATAGGGAAATAGCTAGTCTAAGGAAATATCTACTTTCATATATGTTAAAGGGAGTGTATCAAATTAAAAATGCACCTGTCCTTCTTTCTATGCAGTGAATCCAGCTCTAAGAATTTACCTCCAGAGATATAAGTGTACATGTTTACAAAGTGTACTTTGGTATTCATTATTTATTGCATCTCCTCTAAGTAATGAGATGACATATGCTGATCAGGACTGAGAGAGATGGGCCAGACATGCCCTGGAGCCCTCCCACAGTCCCTTCCTGGCTGGTCAACCTCCCTGGTCCCTCCCCGGCACCGATGGTGTACCAGTGGGATCCCTTGGCCTGGCCTTCACTCTCTCGCAATCTGGGACCTCTTGGGGGATGTTGGAGAGCCGGTTTTGACCTGATCCCAGAGGCCAGGCCAAGGGAACCTACTGGTGCTTGAATTTGTGCACCAGGCCCCTAGTATTATCATAAATATTGAACAAAGGGAACAAATAAAAGTGTAGTATTGCAAGTTTCTGTATTACATCTGAAGTGGTATAATATCACTTGAATGAAAACTATCAATTTAAAGATGTAAACTATAAACCTTAAAACAAACACTAACATAAGCTAACAATGGGGAAAAAAAGGAGCCATAAAATATTTAATTAAAAAATTAAATAAAATTGAAATTAATGAAGTAGATGGATTCCAGTAAATTTTAAGGCACAACCAGTAGAAATGATCTAAAATAAAACACGGAGATTAAGGAGAAAAGCTTTGTTGACATAACTCAGGTTTTGTTCAGGACTTGCGTTCTGGATTCTTTCCATACACAACTCAGAATGTTGTGTACTTAGTATGGTGTGTTTGAGGGGAGCTTTAATCCAGATTTACTATGTTCTGATGCCTGCTTTTAGGAGAAATTTCAATAGCTCGTTTATATCCCACAAAAGATGATTATATATTTTAGGAGCTTTTCTTATTGATTAGAATTGGTTGACAACTGGGCTGTATTTTACATTTTTTAAAAATATGGGCATCTTAATATAATAGTTAATAAATATGATTTATTTGCTGACTTAATTATAAAGCCATTGTCTTTTTAAAAACTTGCTTCTTTAGCCATTCTTGTGTTTTTTATTTTATTTGTTTGTTTTTACCATTAGTTAACATATAATATTGTATTGGTTTTAGGTATACAACATAGTGATTAGACTTTTATATAACTTAAGAAGTAATCAACTCACTAAGTCAAGTACCCACCTGATGCTATACATAATAATTACAACATTATTCACTATATTTCTTAAACTGTACTTTTCATCTCCATGACTATTTTTATAACTGCCAATTTGTACTTCTTAATCCTTTCATTTTGTTCTCCCCACTTTCCAAACCCCAACCCCTCCCAAAATCTGGCAACTATTATTTTGTTCTATCTGAGTTCGTTTCTGTTTTGTTCTTTTTGATTTTTAGATCCCTAATATAAGTGAAATCATATAGTTTTTGTCTTTCTCTGACTTATTTCACTTAGCATAATACCCTCTAGGTCCATCCATATTGTTGTAGATGGCAAGATTGCATTAATTTTTTATGGCATTCTTAGGGATAATTTTAAAAATTGTCTCTTCTTTTTTGAACTGTGTTATCCTTTTGCTCAGCCTATATACATATACACATGTAATTACAACATTTATATATACTTATTTATGTGTATGCATTCTTTATTACCTTAATGCAGTTTATTTGAAATGTAAAAAATGAAAGATGTATGACTATTTTTGCACATCTTTAAATTGTCTCAGGTACAAGAATTAATAGTATGTATGTTCCTTTCATAAGACAGCCCTATGACAATGTCAGTATTCATTTGCAAGTAATGTATTTTCTCCTGTTACAGGTCCTTTTGTTCTGCATCACAGCTGCCATGTACATGTTCTTTTTCAGGTATGTTTTGTTATACCTACTTATTTTAATAGAAAAAACAGTGTTCCTTTATAATTTTCATTAACCATGTAACTAAAGTGTTACCAAAATAATTGTGTCCCATGAGTGGCATGGGTTTTGTCTTGTTTTGTTTCTAGAGTGGTTGAGATAAATCACTGCACCTTAGTAAATAGAGATAGAGAGGGATTTATTTGTTCACATTCTACTTAAAGAATGTGAGAGCTGAATATGTAAATTATTAGTTCTCAAATTATGATGGTTATTTTTTTTTTTTACCTGATTTCAGATATTCTTATATACAGTTAACATTTTAAATTTACAGAAGAATATGTGATGGTAGGGTTTAATCTAAGTCTTCTGTGAAGGTAACCTAGCACATTAATCATAACCTTTCAAATATTAAATTAGTTCAGGATGTAAGAGCTGTGTTTTTTATTGACACTGAGACTCTAAGGAATAAGAGGGAGTGTTAGGATGGCTCAAAATTTTAGTGCTAATTACAAGGATGTCTGTCATTGTTATGTAACCGTAGCGGCATGAGAATAGGATTTTTGTTCAGGAAGAGTCCACTTCTTTCTAGTCTTCCTTTTCAGTAACACCATAATGCCCATTTAGTTTATTCCTACTGCACTCATTTGAATAAACCCTTTCTTGATGTTTCTGGATCTACACAGAATTCAGTCACAGCAGAACAGATCAGGCTTTTAAAATTAAAATTTATATTTAACTGATAAAAGCAGTTATGGATTTTAATAAGATATATTTGGGTAGATATTTTTCTTTTCTTTTTTAACCTAAATGAGGTAATTTAACTATACCAGGATTTTTTAACAACTAATTCCCTGCCAGACATCCTAAATAAATATTTGATAAGCACATTTTAACTTTATAAAAAATGTTACGCAAATATAAAGTGATGATGTTATTATTTTTATAAAGGGACAGTCAGGCTGTTAGAAGGAAGAAAAATAGATAAAGTTTCAACTTGATCTGCAAAGGACTGGTAATGGTATATGTAATATTTTATGGCGGTTAATAATGACTGACAAATCATTGCAGCTATCTGGTGGTCTTTGTGAAATTGTTTGACCTACCATTTTAATACAGCTTCATGCATACCATACAGTTTCTGTGGTCTCATATTTTAATAATTTAGGGGCAGGTAGAGGAGTTAAATAGCAAGCTATTTCATTTTTGTCAATTTTCCCAAACTTCATAATCATTTATAGAGATACATTATTAGGACAGCACTGCAAAAGTTTATGTGGTTTATCTCTTATGTTCTGTATTGTCTGAAGATAAAGCATATCTAATAGGGAAAATGTTAAAAAAGATAAAAACTTATTTTTTTTAAAAGGAAAAATAGAAACATTTTTTATATACATAAGAGAAAAATATAATATCAAGCAAGTTTTCTTTTTATTAAAATTCCTAACAGAACAGGTAGTTAAATAAAATAACCCTTTTCAATATGGCATCTGAAGACAGCATATTTCGTCAACATTTAGCATTTGTTAGTCATCAGAAGTTTTTGAGGCTTAACAAATAAATTGTGTGTTGAATATAGTGATAATGCTCAGTTTTTAGCATGGTTCTTTGAAAATTGCTGCCATCAACCTAGTATTTTTGGTGCAGAAAGAAAATCAACCCTATAAATATGTATTTTGGTGCAGAGTCGCAGGGCCTTTTCCTGTTTCAGTCACAGAAACAACACTTTAAAATACTTTCCAGAAGGCTCAATATAAGGTTTTATTGCCAAGATAAACATTTTCAATTTTCTGAGGAAAGGGGTTGTTTTTCTCCTAAAAGAAGCACTATCACCAAATTCCTAGTGTTCTTGGCAGAAGTTAGTTTGAATAACTCAACAAAATGGGTTTGGCAAATGGTAAAGTAAAACTATTTATAAAGTACTACAACCAAATAAAACAATGTTATATGTTTGTTTGGAATGAACAAGCAATATTGTACATAAAAGTTAGCAAGTCGAATTGCATTAGAATATTTTATTCTTAAGATTCATTTTACTGTCAATACAGATATTTGAGACATATTTATTCCATTTATTAACAATTTTTTTTAGTTCCAATTGCATGACATTTGATAAGTAAATATCAAATAATATTGTCCCCAGTACTCCATTTATGGTAATCTCTTTTGCGAAAAGGCTAAGAAAAAATATTTTATGTTAGAAATGAGTTAACTTGTGTTTTTATCCTAACCCATAAATGTGGATAAAGGGAAATGAGACCCCCTTTCAATAGAGAGAAAATGTGCCAATTTTTTAAAGAAAAACTTGAGGAAGTTGTTTCATAAATATTTATTATATGAATTTACTTGACAATGTTTTTAGTAATGAAAGACTGGTTATTAAAATATGTAGAGAAAATATACTTTTGCATAGTTTTTAATAGCCTTTTTACAGGTATGGTTATTTTATCTGATACATGATGATCTCAATTTTCAATCTGTATGTCAGAAATAAGGCTCACATTCCAGTGGAATCCTAAGAGCACTTTAGAGGCTTGGTTAAATAAAGATAACATGTGAGGAGAGAGTTCTAGTTTTGTTCCACCTCTTAACCAGTTGCCCATCCAGCTATCAGGCTGTCTATTGATACCAACATATACTATAATATTTGGAATATGTTTTAAAGACAAAGGTTCTCTGTTTTACCCTAGTGAGCATATGTCATAATTGCTCTGACTCCTTTGTTCAATTACTTATTATTTTGTATGTTGTTATCATAGCTTCACCATAGAGCATTGTCTGTCACTCGCAATTCAGGTCAAGCAGAAGTCATGGTTGAAAACTTGATAGAATTCTTTGTCTCATGCACCCCTTGGAAACATTTCTTTACTTCCAAATGTGTGTTTATGGGTAAAGCAAGTTACATTTTCTCAAGCCAAAGAATTCATCATAGTCATTAATTCAGGCTTCATTAAGATCTTCCCAACAGTCTTGTGGAGAAAAGAAGTTAGTTTCTTTTGAACTACTAGCTCTTTTTTGTTTTAATTGAGAAGCAAAAGAAAGACTCAACAACACAAATGCTGTTCCAAAACTATTACAATTAATTTTGCTCATAAAAAAATAATGAAACATGCAACACCTTTAAACATTGTAAGTTTTATGTTCCACGTTAAGTTTCTGTGTCTGGAGAACACCAATACTTTAAAAATGATGTAAATGAGCTTCATTTTTCCTTTTTAAAAAAATTTACTTTTATTGTTGAGAGTATTACAGGTATCCCCCTTCCCCCATAGCATTCTCCACCCCAGGCTTTCATCTCACTATTGTCTGTGCCCATGAGCTATGCATATATGCATGTAAGTTCTTTGGTTAATCTCTTCCTGTCCTTCTCGCCCCCTTCCCTCTGAGATATCTGCTAGTCTGTTCGGTGCTTTCATATCTCTGGACCTATTTTGTCAGTTTATTTTGTCAATTTATTAGATTCCACATATAAGTGAGATCATGTAATATTTATCTTTCTATGACTGGTTTATTTCACTTAGTATAGTACTCCCCAGGTCCCTCCATGCTGTCTCAAAGGATAATAGATCCTTCTTTTTTGCCGCTGCATAGTATTCCATGGCATAAATGTACCACAGCCTTTTCATCCACTCATCTACTGATGGGCACTTGGGCTGTTTCCAGATCTTAGCTATTGTAAATAGCACTGCTATGGACTTAGGGATGCATATATTCTTTCTGATTGGTATTTCAGGATTCTTAGGATATATTCTTAGAAGTAGAATTGCTGGGTCATAAGGCAGTTTCATTTTTAATTTTTTGAGGAACTGCCACACTGTTTTCCACAGTGGCTGCACCAGTCTGCATTCCCACCAGCAATGTACTAGGGTTCCTTTTTCCACATCCTCACTAGCACTTGTTATTTGTTGATTTATTGATGATAATCATTTTGACAGGTGTGAGATGATACTTCATTGTGGTTTTAATTTGTGTTTCTCTGATGATTAGTGATGTTGAGCATTTTTTTCATATGTCTGTTGGCCATCTGTATGTCTTCTTTGGGGAAGTGTTTATTCCAGTATTATAATTTAATTGGATTATTTGTCTTCCTCTTGTTCAGTTCTGAGCTTCATTTTTCTTTAAATAATTGAATTTAAAATAGACAGTATCATAAAGCGTATTATGACAACTTTGATCCCATCTAGTGAGTACCTAGCTAGAATTTTTTTCCACCTGACTTTAAAAGAACAGCAGCAAAGCAAGTTTGTTTAAACATGTAGAACAAAAGGCTCAGACTTGTCATAGTACATAATCTACAGGCTACAAATGATTCACAGCAGACTTATCTCAAACTATATAAACATTGAAAAGCTTTGCATTTTTAGTTAGAAACCAGTGCAAATTAAAATGTATTTTGTTTTAGACAGAAACATTAGTAATGTGGCTGACATATAATAAATTCTCATCAGCCGTCTGGAAAGGCACAACTGATAAAGATTTCATTAGTCTCAAGATAAAGATGTAATGTTTGTATTTAAGAAAAATGAAACTATTTATTGGCTGAACAACCTACAGATATTGAGTGAAATATGTTTGGTTGTCCTAGAATCTCTTTACATAAACCTAACTTAATATCTTCGAAATAACTTTAAATGCAAGTAAAGAACTTTTGCTCTGGGTCTTTCAACCATTTTCTGTTTTTAATGAAAGTCTTTTAAATATTGAGGTTCTACTTCTTAATGAATTGCCTAGACATACACATAAATCTTGTCTAGAAAATTACATATAGCATTCAGATCATAAATGTTTTACCTTAGGGTTAGGAGGGTTTGCCCTAAATAATTAGATTTTTATTTTGAAGGTATTACTTCAGCGATGTAGAGAGTGTATTGGGCGTTTAGAAGGAGGACACAGTGACACGTAATGGGAGGGTATTATAGCAGTTATCTGGGAGAGAAATGGTGAGAACATGACTGAGAGTTATGGTAATGATATGGCAAAGAGTGGATTTATCTAAGATATGAGGATTGCTG